ACCCCCGCGCTTCCTCACACCGAGCCGAGTGGGTTTTAATAACAAGCAGAAAACACTATGGGCTCAACTTTCCCACAAGGAACGTCAGCTTTTCTTTGTTTCCCCCTCCAAGGTGGTAAGGGCAGGAAGGTGACAGGACTCATTTTCTATCAGCCAGTCAGAAGGTAGACTTTACCATGCTCACCTGTCAGAAACGACCTACCATTAGCCGGGCAGTGGTGGCGCACGCCTTTAATCCCAGCACTCGGGAGGCAGAGGTAGGCGGATCTCTGTGAGTTCGAAGCCGTCCTGGTCTACAGAACGAGTTCCAGGACAGCCTCCAAAGCACAGAGAGAAACCCTGTCTCGTAAAACAAAAAACAGAGAAACCTCAAACAAAAAACAGAGAAACCTCCTAACTCGGAGGACGCTCCAAAGCCTGCTCAATGGCTTCTATCCCGGTGTCCCCGTACTGATGGGCAGAGCTTTAGGAGTTTTAAGCGCAAATATTTTATTGTATAAAACTTCTTTACCTCTTATAAACTGGGGAGGCAATTTTACTTTCTCTGCTAATGAATTAATACGAATTGGGTAAAGTGACAAGGATATGATTTCTCCTCAGAAACCATGCTAAAGCAGCACTGGGGGTGGGGGGAGAGTCAGGTGGGTTCCTGGGCCTCAGTAGTCAGCCATCCTAGCCTAGTAGGTGAGTTCCAGGTCAGTGAGAGACCTGCCTAAAAAACCATGGACAGCTCCTGAAGAGTGATAGCTAAGGTTGTCTTTTGACTTCCATGTGTACTTGTGTATACATGAAAACACACATATGTGGGCTGCAGAGATGGCTCAGAGGTTAAGAGCACTGACTGCTCTTCCAGAGGTCCTGAGTTCAATTCCCAGCAACTACATGGTGGCTCACAACCACCCGTAATGAGATTGGTGCCCTCTTCTGGTGTGCAGATGTACATGGAAGCAGAATGTTGTATACATAAGTAAAATCTTAAAAAAAGAAAACACACATATGTACATATACGTACATACACATGCAAACACACATATGAGAGAAATATTGGTCAAGTGTAGAGTAGCTGTGGTGGTTTGAAAGAAAATGGCATCCAAAGGGAGTGGCAATATTAGGTATGGCCTTGTTGGAGTAGGTTTTTATCTTGTTGGAGGAAGTGTGCCACTGTGGGGTTGGGCTTCGGGGCCTCCTATGCTCAAGCTTTGCCCAGTATCACAGTTTACTTCCTGTTGCCTTCGGATCAAGATGTAGAATTCTTATCTCCTCCTCCAGCACCATGTCTGCCTGCATGCCACCATGTCCCACTATGATGATAATGAACTAAACTACTAAACTGTAAGACAGCCCCAATTAAATGTTTTTCTTATAAGAGTTGCTGTGGTCATGGTCGTCACAGCAATAGAAGCCCTAACTGTAACAGCAACACTCAGTATGTTACCTCTTATTTATCTCTTTCAACCCCAGAGAAGCTTACACCCTTCTTCTTTCTTCAGAGTAAGAGGAAAGGAGGAACCCAGTGTGATGGGGTGTGAGTATAATCCTAGCACTTGCAAGACTGAGGAGGAAGGACTGCACATTTGAGGCTCACTTGGGCTGCACAGTGAGACTCTCCCTCTCTCTTGCTCAAAAAAAAATAAAAATAAAAAGCTTCAGGGTGGTGGTGGCACATGCCTTTCATCCCAGCACGTAGGAGGCAGAGGCAGAGGCAGAGGCAGATCTGTGAGTTTGAGGCCACCCTGGTCTACAGAGCAAGTTCCAGGACAGCCAAAGCTGTTACACAGAGAAACTCTGTCCTGAAAAACCACAAACACACACACACACACACACACACACACACACACACACTCTATATATATATATATAGTGTTTGGAGTTTTAAGTGTATTTGATCTTGTCCACATACAAGCTGCTCTTACAGCCACCTCCTGAACTTAAAGGACTAGCCCAGTCTGGCTCAATATCTTTATCTATCTATCTATCTATCTATCTATCTATCTATCTATCTATCTTTATGTGTGTATGTATATATATGTATATATATATGTGTATGAGTATATATATATATATAAACTTATTTTACATGTATGGATGTTTTGAATGAATTTGTGTCTGAAATCATATTTTTTGAGTTGTGAGGTTACAAGGATGTATACTGTGCACACAGAATATGTTGAGAGTTTCTGCCAGAGGGTCAGGAGCATGCCTTTAGTTCCAGCACTCCTGAAGGAGAATCAGGCAGGTCTCAGTCTTGATGAGTCTGAGTTCGAGGGCAGCATGCTCTACATACCAGACACAGTACCAGGATAGTCAAGGCTACACAGTGAAACCCTGACCCTGCCTCAGAGAGAAAGAGGGGGAGAACACTACAGAAAACTAGAATATTATTTAGTATGTGTGTGTGTGAACACACAGGAGTGTTTGAATTGGGGGCTCCTTTGGACCTGGACTTACAGGCATTAGTTGCATGTGTTCTAATTGGTCTTAATAATAAATATCCTGAGACAGATATCAGGGTAAATGCTGAAAGATCAGAGAGACAAAGGAGCAAGCCACAGCCACCTCTTACCTCATCAACTTCTCAGTTGAAGAAGTCTAGTTCCTGTGTCTGCCCTGCCTCCTCTGTAACACAGAATATCTTTATTGTTCTGATGCTATCTCTGGAAGCAGATTAAGAATACTCACATTAAGAAAAAATAAAAAAATCAAAGAAAAAATACACTAATGGGCAAAATTTATATAATACAATAATTTTGATAGGCAATATGTCCACATTATAGTATACAAAAGCATATATAGTGAATGTCTTCCTATGAAGTGTTTCATAGCTTCTCTTTCAATAGGCAGCCATGTGCAATTTTTCAAGTAAGAATTTTACATTGTTTTACTTAATTTAAAATTTCTCCGCAGAGATGGCTCAATGGTTAAACTCATTTCCTGCTCTTCTAGTGGGCCCTTTTGGGTTCCCAGCAGCTACATCAGGAGTCTGAGAAACACCTGTAACTCTGGCTTCCCTGGGCAGCCACACATAACATACCCCCTCCAAACTCAAACTTTTTTCTTTCTAGTAGGGTTTGGTAGCACATGCGTGACTGTAATCTCAGCACTCAGCATGTGGAGGCAGGAGGACCAAGAACTGAAGGTAAGTCTTGGCTATAAGAGACCCTGTCTCAAAAACGTAAAACAGTTTCTATGCTCTGGTGATACGCTGCTGGCACTGCTCTCATACTATTTCATTTTTATTTTTATTTTATTTTATTGTCTTTGAGATAATGTCTTGCTAGATAGTCTAGTTGGCCAGGAAATTGGCCTGGATAGAACTGACTTTCCTGTAAGCGTTGGAGCTTGGATACAAAGGGATCCTGACAGTCGGGAGTCAAGGACTATCATACCACAAAGTCAATATAAGCGTAGCAGCTTAGCTCTGCTCGAGGGAAAGGTCTCTCCAGTGCAATCCTAGTGCTGGGATAGTAGGCATGCACCATCAGGCTCTGCATTCTTGCACAATTTGATTTCTCGAGAACTCCTTAATATTTCATAAAAGCCAGGAGGTGGTGGCACACACCTTTATTCTCAGCACTTGGGAGGCACAGCCAGGCGGATCTCTGTGAGTTCAAGGCCAGCCTGGTTGGTCTACAAAGCTACACAGAGAAGCCCTATCTCGAAAAACCAAAAAAAGAAAAAAAAACAAAACAAATAAAAGAGTCGATAAAAATTCAGTTAAGTGGGCTGTGGGTGAAGTTCCCTGGTACCATGCATGCTGGAGTATACTATGGGTCCTGGGTTCAAATTCCAGCACCGCGCATGGGGGTGGGGGACGTTTTACAAGTTTGATCCGGAGGATCGAGTTGTTTCCGCACTCTCTTTGCAACAACACCCGAGATCTTACAGAAGAAAGAATATCTGTCTTCGAGTCAAAAAATCGGCTTCACAGACAACCGATGCTACGGAGCGTGGCAGTTGCTATAGTTCCCGGCGCCCGCAGTGTGACGCCAGTCAGTGGCGCCGTGTGATTACGTCATGGTTTCCGGCGCCTTTTTGCGAGCCGGGACGCGGGGAGGAGAAACTTAGCTATTAGTGTGGCAGGGTCATGAAGAGGAGGCGGTGGCGGGAGAGCGGAGGAGGCGGAGGGGCCGCGAACTTGCGGTAGCCAGCGCTTGGCTGGTGATTGTGGCAGGGCGAGGGTCCCAGCCCTCGGGGGGCG